GGGGGTGCGGGTGGGGCTGAGACAGGTATTGCCCAGCCAGGGCAGTGAATGGGACTCTGGGGCTGGGAGTGGAACGGAGCCACGGGTGGCTTGTCCAGGGGGCACAGGGGAGTGGGGAGGGAGGGCGGCTCCCTGCCACTGCGCACACCTCTGGGGAAAGCATGAGGGGGCATGTGCCCCCCTGGATTTGTGCACAGGGTGAGGGCAGGCTGCCCACTGTGGGCTCTGGGCCAGGGGCTGCACCAGCCTCTTCCCAGCAGGGGGGCTGAGCCAGGGCTTGGCTCAGAGCAGGCTCACCTGCGTGGGGCAGGCAGTGGTGGCAGCTCTGGAAGGGGTGGCTATGGGGGGGCTAGAGGGAATTTTGGGGTGGTTATAGCTCTCTAAATCCCCCACAGTGCTGCCCTTGCTCGGGGCCCTCCGCTCTACTGTTTTTCCCTAGGAGCCTCACGCTGGCTGCGCATCCTTGAGTTGGGCAGCAGCGGTGTGGGTGGGGGTTGGGGGCTATAGCCACCCCATAATTCCCCATAGCTCCCTCGTAGCCACCCTCGCAGCACTGCTGCCACTGCCCACCTACCACAACTGAGTCTGCCCTGCTCCTACCCACTCCAAGCCCAGCCCTGTCCTAGGCCCCCTGCCAGGAAGTCTGGTGCAGCCCTCAGCATGAGCCTACACTGGGCAGCCCACCCTTACTCCATGCACAAATCCAGTGGGGGGTGCATTATTCCTATGCCTCCCCTGGGGGTGCACACAGAAGCACGGAGTTGCCCCCTGCCCGCATGTACCCCCTGGATGAGCCGCTCACGGGTCCACCCTGCTCCTGACCCCGGGGTCTAATTCACCACCCTGAATGGGCAGCACCTGCCACAGCCCCTGTCCCATTCCCTTCCTCACCATGGAGGGCATCAATCTACGCCCCCCTTACCCCCCACAGACTTACTGGTAGGATGCTGCTCTCCAAGCTGTCCAGCTGCATTCCTGTAAATCAGCTATCGGATTGGTATTGGCTGATATGGCCAATTAATAATTGGCTGTCCATATCAGCCAAGAAAATTTTTATCGGTGCACCCCTAGTAATCACAGCTTTCACTATGCAGTTAAGATTAAAATCATCCACAAAAAAGAACGGTATAAAGACATTTTGAGCCCTCATCAAAAAATGGCCTTTATTTTAGACAAGATGTTTCAAGGGAAAACCCATATTCAGGTTCTATAAGCACTTTATAAACTCAGTCATGTTCCAAAACAGGCAATGTAAACCAGCCCTTTTTACGAACCATACCTGACTAACATTGTCCTCATCTGCACTATTGAAGCGCTGTACATCTCCTGACATATGCATATGGCTCTCCTTCAAGTTGGGCTGATCTTCAGGGCCAGTAAAACTATTTGGATAATAATTGGGGGCACCACCTTTAAAAGCAAAGTCCAAAATATTACACCTTTCAGATTAGGTTAGAACTCAGAGAAATTGCAAATTAAACCTGCAGGAATGTTTCAAATAGACTTCTTTAATCTCATATCTACTTAGTATTCTTATATTTTCCCTCACTTTTTGTAAAGCAGTTGGCAATATTTTGCTACATAACACTCTGCTAAGGACCAGGACTTCCTTGGAATTTCCTTTAACTTGAGCATTTCATGTAATTCAATAAGCAACTAAAGTATGTTAAATATTAACATTTCTAAATATCATGCATAGAAAAAATAGTATAAGTTTCTCTTAATATTCAGTAAGGGTGTTGGAAAATTTGTAATAATTGCCAGCATCATTTTAATAAATCAGTTTTGGATAAATATTGAGATCTGTCCCATCCAGTGAAGCAAACTTTCATCTTATATTAACAGAATGCAAACGAATTCTCTTAATATTGACAGACTATTATGGATCCATGACTGAAAACATAGTTAAATTCTTCTCAAGAAGAGGCTGTTGTATCCCTCTGTTATTCATAAAAAAGTTAAGGCTGTTACTGAGGAAACAAGGATACATCAAGTTAAATATTTTGAGTCTTATATTAAAAAGATACTGGACAAAATACATTATTGTGCATGCTTAGAAAATGCTTGCCAGCTATTTTGTTGAAAATTAGCTGACTATACTTGCAAGACTAGAAAAAGAGAGCCTTGTATATGCATTATTTTTAGCCAGTAATTCTCAACCAGTGTGCCAGGAGATCTTGTTAAGAGCGTACTGTAGGATACCACACCAGATTAGCATTGTTAGATGTGCAAACACCTACATGATTCAGGAGATAGACCCAGAGGTTTGAAATAGGAACCCAGAGGGTCAAGAACATTGTGACCTGTTGTGGTCTTTGAGTTCTTTGCAACAGAAGAATTGCTCAATTACTTTTCTGCAGTCAAATAACGAGTGAAGCTATGTGTTAGCATTTTCTGAGGGGTGCCTCAAGTCTAACAAGATTGAAAACACTGGGCTAACCATTATGTCCAGAAGCACTTTCAGAGATACCTTGGTTATCAGACAAGCACATGGGTCCATCTCTCTGATAGTTAGAGACACGAACTCTGAAGGGACAATTCACAGGTATTTGTAGGTAGTTGGGTCCTAGACGGTGGCGGTGAGTATCAGGATATGAGAAAAGACGACCCTAAAAATACGTTGACATTTAATATATTAAGTATGTTTTTTTCCCTAGAAAATAGCTACCTTTCAAAGCAATCAAGAAAAGGTATGTTTAATGCAGTTATTTTAAGAAATGTATTTTTTCCAACATGCAGATAATCACTTATAGTCTTTAAACTCTCATAGAGCTATAAATAGCTAACATTTTCAAGGATTATTTTTGAAATTCTGTTGTTAAAGTACAAATACCGTTCTACCTGGTCTTTGTTTTCATATTTACACAATGTGTAGTGGCTATATTTTTAAGTGACTTCAGATAAGTGATTGTTATAAATGTTTAATCCGTATGCTCCTAGGCTGAAGGGAAGCCTACCTGCAATAATTTACCCTTCAATGAAACAAAGTACTGTAAGACAAAACAATGATACTATTTTAAAAAAGGGCAAAGGGGACTTTAAATAGATTCACCTGATCTATGCTAAATATTTAAGCTGTCTGCTCTATCTATGAGTAGATGTTGAGCAGTGCCCTATCACTATCTATGCCACGGGTGTCAAAGATACAGCCCACAGTCTGTATCCTGACTATCGAGATACACATCATATGGCCTCCAGTGCAGGCCCCACCCAAATGCCAGATCTAGTGCCCATTCAGTCCAGGATGCAAGCCACAGCTGGTTCAGGGCAGACACCACATGCAGCACAGGTCCCAGACCACTTGGAGCAGGCACTGGATATGGCATGCAGGGGTGCATGGGGAGGGGATGCTCTGTAGCTCCCCTGCATACCGGAAGCAGCATGGGCTCTAGCCAGTCTGGGACCCACGCTACGTGTGGCATCCACCCTAGACCAGCTGGACTAGGGAACTGCATGACGCTTACGTCCTAACCCAGCGCCACGTGTGGCACAGTCCCAAATAGGCCAGAGCAAGCACCATGGGAACTAGATCCAGGATGCCAGTGGGGCAGGGTTGGGGGAGAGACACTCCAGCTCTGTACTGTTCACCAGGCCTGTGGATCAGTCCTGGGCCATTCATCTGGCCTGCAGGGTTTGACACCTCTGAGCTATGCAATACACTAGAGACAGGGATCGGGACATAGAGTCTGACTGAGATTGAGAGATTACTATGTCAGGAATAATGGAAAGGTTACAGGAAACTGAACTGGGTTTAAAGGTCCAAAAAAACCCTTCAGCCCAAAAACTGCAGCTTTGGCCATGTAGCTGCTATCAAAGTCATTTAATCCTTATGTTGTTTTATTTTTCTGACAATCCTAGGAATCAATGAGTTTGAAAGGTCACATGTAGAAGTACAGAATCACACACAAGTTGAAGCACTTAGTTTTGACCGCTATTGGAACAGAAGCGGGCAGTGATCTCCTTGAGAAAAAATAGTTTCTGAGTGAGAGTGCCCCATTTGCTGACCATCATTTGGACTACATTTCATCCTTTCAGGGAGAATTTGAGGATGTGGACAAACTTCCTGCTCACAAAATCTTTGTTTCAGGAGAATGTGATCCATTAAGAGTGATGTTATTCCACGTGCAAATGTTCCAGAGGTCTACTGCCCCTAAGCATAAGGGGTTGGACTTTGCTGTTTCTGTTGTGGTAAAACATTAGTGTCACGTTATCTAACACCACTTGAGCTTTAAACCTTTGGGTTGCAGGTATAAAAGAATGGCTCTTAGCTCTCTGAATAAACATCCAGAAGCTGAATTTTAGTTTTCTGGTAAAGGTGTTCAGCTTTTTCAGTCCAAGATAGGCGTTGGACCCCCTTTCTTTTGGGGTGTGAGGCTGTCTCAGGAACAGAAACCTAACCCCAGTTCTGTTAAAGGAACCTCTCCTACTGCTCTCACACCTAGAAGAAATTGTACCTCTCAAGGCTGTGCAATCTTATGGGGTGCATCTACATGTGTACTTTACTGTGGAGTTGACTAATTAACTCCAGAGTAAAGCACCACTGTCTACATGTGTGTCAGCATTAGGGGGCATTAAATTAACTCTGCTGTAAGATATTACTATCCGGGACAGTGCTATCTTATGGCGGATTCACTTACTGTGAAGAAAGCACATGTGGATGCAGCAGTTTGAGCCCAGACCAGCAGCAGGCTGGGGGCGGGGCGGTCAGCTACATAGCTACACGTTTTGGGCACTCTCATGTCCCAGCCAGTCCCTCTGCCACCCAAAGCCCAGAGCTGACCTCTCGAACCTGCTGCCAGCCCAGGGCTGCTCTGTCCTAGGTCAAACTGCTGCAGTGAAGGCGCTGTGCCTGGGAGTAGCCAACTCCAGAGTAAACTGCACCAGTTTATTGAGGTGCGCTAATTGCATGTGTAGATGCTCCTGTGGGATACTAAACAAGGCTGGAAAAGGTTGGGGGTGGTAAGGCCTGGGATAATTTATCAGTAGTATTTAGAAAACATCAATCAGTTATGGGGTTTTTGGTTGTAGTTGTATTGATCTAAAGACACAGGCAGGCAAGGTTCTTTGAGTAGATGTGATATGTTATAAGACCAATGAGTAGCTGGAAAAAAGTTCTTAGTGAGCTTTCGGGCACAGTCGCCCTGCTTCAGGCATAGGGAGTCTCTGTTGGCCTGAGACTCATAGGGAGCTGGTCTGAGACTCAGACCAGCAGAGACTCCCTATGCTTGAAGAAGGGTGACTGAGCGCGAAATCTTGCTAAGAACTTTTTTCCATCAATTGGTTCTAGCATTTGAAACTCCACAGAAATGGCTTCTGACTTCAGAACATGGTAGTTCCAACTTTAAGCTCTAAAGAGCTGGCGATTTTAAGGACCTTTGATGAGAGACCAGAGAATGGAGCCTTTGAACCTGAAGGCATTACAGGTTTTTCAGAAGTCAAAATCTTCAGCAATGGAGCACATGGTGTAGGAATAGTTCTGGAAATGCTTTTACAGCAGATTGGTTAATGTAATCCATCCTGGGATAGCCTGGATCAAAGGATGGATCAACAGGCCTCTCCACAAGGCACAAAATCAGGCAGCACTCTTTAGATTTCTGATCCTATTAGAAAAGGACCAGCAAACAGCATATTTATTCATCATGCCCTTTACTAACGCAAATAAGGCTGATAAGCATGATTACCTAATATTGTAGGCAGTTCTTAAACTGCCTATTTCATAATGAGGTAAAAACAGTTCCTAGCCAGAACAAATTAAACATTTTAAAACTATGATGATGACTATACTAACAACAAACCACTTGTACAGGAAAGGGTGCTCTTAAGCACTAGGAAAAAGAAAAACAGTGATTAGGATGCCTAACTGGGAGCTCTGATTCAGAGCAATAGGCAGTAAGAAGGAACTGAGATGGAGCTGGAACACTATTGCCCTTGGTTGGAAGTATGAGGACAATGAAGATACATACTGCTGAGCAGAAGTCTCCAGTTCAAGTGCCCTGGATGTTTATGCATGCCAAAAGGGGAAATGGGCACATACAAGGACTTGAAAAATAAAGAATTTACTTGTGTGGAAAAAAAAAAAATTTGCATTGGGATTCAAATCTATAAACAGATTAAGGCCCAAATGGTCTTCCTAGCAGGAAAAAAAAATAAAAGAGATTAAAAATGCCTAGCGTGAAGTTACTCTGTATCCAACGGAAAATCTTTTCAGTGATATAAACTATTTAGCATTAGCTGACCAAAGCTTATCAGTTAAATTCATTACACTCTTATGTACAAGTGTGAGTTTTATAAATCACTCTTAAGTGAGTAGTGAATGGTGGTCTCCAGACAGAGTAAAAACTTCCTAAAATTATGTTTTAGGAAAAAACCTCACACAAACCAAGTGGGAGAAATGTACAAAGACAAACCTGAGCATTTTAAAGCTATTATTAAATGAATTATAAATAATAATACTTGAAAAAGCATAAATGCATGCATACATATTATTGTGGGAATTTTAAGTAGTTACTTCATACTACACATACACTAGACTTCAGAGTCTTAACAGATTTGGAGTCTCTTAATTCACATCAAGAAATACTTTAAAAGGTGCACTTTACAGCACCTGAAAGACACCGCTCACATTGGGCTTTTGTACACTATAACCACTCCAGTTTTTGTTGTAACTGGAGACATTAATGATTAAATTGCTGACTTCCAAATGCTTGAGATAAATTACATATTGAACAACCAGATAAACGTAAAAAAGAGGAGAGGGAGTTGAGAGCCTGAACAGAAATCTAAGTAGAAAATGTTTAATTTAGCAGGACTCATAAGAAATAAGAATTCCAAAACTGATACGGAATTCACAAATCCTACTGAACTGTTCCATAAAGGTAAATGTTGCCATAATGCCAATCAAAATATTTTATTACAACAACACATGGAATGACATGAAATCTACTATAAAGAAGAAAGCTGTGTCAGTGTACTGTGAAACACAAGTTTACCTGTAACATTTTATCGGGGCTAGGCTCAATGCCAGGTGGCATGTTGCTTGGATCAAAGGCCAGTTGTTCAACTTCCGCAAAATAATTGACTGGATTCCTGTTTAACACCAGCTTGCCCACAGGGATAAGAGGATAGTCACTGTGGGGCCAAACCTAGAAAAATAAAATATACACTATGATTACCACTTATAGGTAACTAGGGTATACAACCTAACAAGACAAGTACAATCAGATACAATTAATTATGTACACTCTGCAATGAAGTCATACATACACAACTGAAGTCAATTTTACTTTGGTACTGAATGAATAGTACAAAAAAGTTACACCTTAAGAAATGAGTAAACATAGGATATTCCAGTAACTCATTTACCATAGCATGATTATTAGCGATGTACAAAGCTTCAGTCCACGATTCAATTTGGAGAAGATTTGGCCCGATTTGGAGGCCGAATCACCAAATCCGAATCAAATCAGGATAAGAAAAAAAACCCTTCAAATTGATTCAGAGCCTCCAAATAGATCTGGAGATTCAGAAGGCAGTCTCTCAGGGGAATAGAAACTGAGAAGAGGGAAAGGGAGCAGGGGGGAAAAAGACTGACATCTGCAGCTTGCCAGTGACTGTGATCTTTCCCTGAGTCCCCTTCCAGTCACAGTGCTCCGGGGGAGAGATGTAGAAACAGCATATAAGCCTCAGTCTGCAGCTTTTCTGTGCCTTTTGTGAGCTGTTTCTGCCTGAGTAACAGCATCTGAAAGGTACTGGACTGGCTTGGCTTCCTACCTAATCAGTCTCCTGCTACTTCCTGTTCTTGGAAAGGATTGGATATAGCTTACTAACTAGAATCTCTCTACTTATCCCTATCCAATCCATTTCTTTCAATTTATATTTATTCTTGCTTCCCCCCATCCACTTTTTAAAAAGAAAGCCTTGTTTTCCCTGGCAGTGAAGCCCCTGCACCTATCTCCTTGAAACTTGGCAGGCCTCATTCTCTCAGAAGAAGCTACCATCCCTGCAACTTTAATCCAAATCAGCCAAAAAATGACAAAGTTATAGGTATTTCAGTGATTCCCCATTATAGTCTATGGCCAAATCTCCGAATCAGCACCAAATCTTTCGAATCCGATTTGGTCGAATAGATTCAGGACAGTGATCCTGGCAGTGCAAGCTTTCAGGTACCAACACCCTTCTTCAGGCATTGGGGAGAGTCCCTCCAATGCCCGAAGAAGGGTGTTTGTGCCCAAAAGCCTGCAAAGAACAATTTTCCCAGCTATTTAGTTAGCCTAATAAAATATATCAGATTTACCCAAAGTACCTTGTCTGCCAAAGGCATATGAAGAACTGAATTGGAATGCAGTATTATTGGTAGTGCTGGAGCCCAACCTTTCCCATTATAAGTGCTTTTTTTTTTTTCAGCAGCTTCAAACTAACAATTAGTCTGGAGTTTTCCATAAAGTATAAGAATGGACTCTCTTTTTAAAAGAGTTCAATCACACTATGAGCAAAGCTAGAAAAATATTGGTAAAGCTTGCCAATGATGACTTTCTCCCTCCTCCCCCTCTCTGCCCCCTACAGTTTGTTTGTTTTTTTAAACCTTCTACTACTGCTGGGTATTGAAGTAGTAACTCCAAAGTTTGGCAGGGGATTTAACCTAGAATCAGAAAGGTACATTTTACTGTTTCCCAGGAAACTGCACTCAAGTTATGCAGCTCAAGGAAAAAATACACAAACATACACATATATAAATACAAATTAATATGTATGCGTGTGTGTTGTTCTTTTCACGTGCTCTGCAGCACTTGCAGAAGCTTGCTGCTGCTGCTACATGGTACAGAGTTCATGTGCAAGATGGAACAATTGTGATGAGCTAGAAACATAGTGGACACTGGGTGCATCTACCCGTGCAATTAATGTGACTGAATAAACTTCAGCGCAATTTGAGCCAGAGTAAACTAATCCCGACCTCACCATCTACACATGTGTTTAAGCACAGTAATTTACTCCGCCACTAGATAATACCCATGTCTGACTGGACTATTGGACTGCGCTGTAAACTAGTCCACACCGGCCCAATTGCCACGCAGATGTAGACTGTTATGCTTTACTGTGCAGTAAATTAGTCCACTCCACACTAAAGCAAACGTATAGATGTGCCCACTGAGTTGCAGTCTCAGCTCCTCGAATTACTGAAATTTAATTCTCTGCACTTCATAGTCATCATTGTTGTGAAGAACTTCATACCTGTTTGAGGATATTTTACAGATGGAGTAACTGATATACCATACCATTCTAACTCTGGGTTTCTAATATTGCTGAGTTGAGCCTTATCTAGATACAATCCCTCAAAGAGAACCTTCCAATCTATGTGCAAGACTACGTTGTCTGTAACTACCAGTTCTCAATTCCTTCAAAACCAGGATGAAAATGGAGGATTCAAAACTTCAAATATTCCTGTTACTTAGCTATTAATTGTGTAACCTACTGGCATAATGTGCATCACATCGCCCTACAGCAGTGGCTGCCAAACTTTTCAGGCTGTGGGCCAGAACAACCCACTTCTGGTCTACCTTAAGCAGAGTAGTTCTGGTGGTGTATCAGTGACTGGCAGCTTTCCCCATGTCCATGCTGAGGCCAAGCAGCTGGGAGCTGCCACCACTAGTTCTCCCAAACCCTTGATACTCAGCTGGGGCACAAGCACAGCTTCCAGCTGGTGAGAGAGCTGCATCTGTGCTGCTGCCATTTGCCCCCCTCTCAAGCTGCAGCTCTGGTGTAGCTCTCCACTAGCTGGAAGGTGAGCCCACGCCACAGCCTTGGGGAGGTTAGGGGAGGCAGCAGAGAGAAGCAGCAGCAGCACAAGTGCAGCTGAAAGTTGCCCGGCCCTGGTGCCATTCCTCACTGTTTAGCCCCAGCATGGGCGCAGACACAAGTAAAGCCCTCTAACTCCCTGGACTGGATCTGACCCATGGGCCACATGTTGCCAGCCCCTGTCATAGTGTACAATACCCATTTCCCCAAATTTGTTACTCCTTTAATTTTAGTGGTAGAAGTTTGGGCTACACATCTAAGTATGTCTACACTGAAAAAACAAAAGATACAACTCCAGCTTGTATAGACATACCCAACCTAGTTCAAAATAGATGGCCTTGTTACAGTTAACCCAGCCACAGAAGCATAGGACTTATTCTATGATATTTATCCATGGCCCTGAGTGTGGTTTTTTTCAACTCATAGTGTAGTAGCATAGATTTCAGTAATATCAGTAGCAAAACTATCTAGTTCCAGAATATTAACTGCTCATTTCTGGACTGCAGTGCATACAGAACACTAAAAAAACCTAGGCTTAACCTCTCCTCAGTTCCCAGTACTATTCCATTTTCTTAAATTTAGGAAACTGCATATAAAAAACACATTCAGGTGGCAATCCCAGCATTCAAGAGTTACAAAATACTACAATTAAGATCACCCGTGCAACTTTATTCTGGCCACACTGCATAATATGCTTTTCCCTACATGATCATGTATTAGTTGTTCTTCAAGACACCTGTCTGATGCAGTGCACACAACAGAATGATAACAGAAAAGAAGTTAGATTCATTTGCGTTTAAGGCACTGGAATTGAGACAGCAACGTTCTATTGTTGGTTCTATTGCACATTTCTTATACGACCCTGGGTACTAATTATATTGTCAAGTGTGGGTACGTGATAAAAGGGAACACCTTCAAATATGACATTTCCTAGCTTCCAAATATATGGACTGCCAACCTTAACATGGGCTTTTTTGTACTGCATGTATTATACACACATTACTATGAAGGTTACCTTGGTTACATCAAAAGGATTAAATGGGAACTTTTCTGCTTCTTCAAATGTCATAACCTGAATGTAGAAAGACCAAGATGGATAGTTTCCTTTGGCAATGGCATTGTAAAGATCACGCAGTGCATAGTCAGGATCAGTGGAAGCCAGCTGTTCTGCTTGTTTGACAGGAAGGTTTTTGATGCCCTGGTCAGTCTGAAAATAAATCAGTGAAGTGATATTCGTAACAACAGAATTAAACCAGGCTAGCTATGGAATATTATAGAAGTAAAAACTTTACTTTTGCTCACATAGCCCACCTTGGAATATAAAACTTTCACCCTGTTTTTGAAAAGGCAGTAGGAAAGGAGGCGGGAGGTGGAAAGGGAAAGCAGCAGCTAGACAGCCAAACCTGCTGCCTGTGGTGTGTGCCAGATGGGGCCTGCAAATCAACCTTGTCTAATCTGGCAAACTGGGTCTGTGGCTGTGTACTGGGTCCACGGCTGCACGTTGGGTCTGGCCAAACCAACCCCACTGGCTGGCCGATGTCAGCCTGAATATTTGGTGGTAGGAGTAGCAGTGTTAACTGCCATGGCTCCCAGAGCTCTGGCAATTAACACTGCCATTCTCCCCCTGCAACCAAATTGCTAGACCTGTAGAGATCCCTATTTCTCACATATAATGCACATGCAAATTTCCACCAGCTGGTTTTGGGGGGAAATGGTGTGTGTTATATGGGAGAAACTGAGGTACCTTAAGAATCGTGCATAATGTTCCACCTTGGATCTGAATTCTAGAAGAAATAAAATCACACATTCTACTAAATAGTATATTTTAATCACTGCCTTCTTTATGAGTTTGAGATCAGCAAAATAACAAACATTTTTAATTTGAAAGTAATTGCTTAATATTACTAATGTAGAATGATAGAAAATTAGGGCTGGAAGAGACCTCTGGAGGTCATCTAGTCCAACTCCATGCTCAAAGCAGGACCATCCCCAACTAGATCATCCCAGCCGAGGCTTTGTCTAACTGGGTCTTAAAAACCTGCAAGGATGGAGAGTCCACAACCACATCCTTTCTATAGTGTTTTATTACCCTCCTAGAGAGAAAGTTCTTCCTAATATATCTCACCTAAACTTTCCTTGCTGTAACTTGAGACTGTTTCTCTTTCTGCCAACATGGAGAACAGTCTAGCTGCTCCATCCTCTTTCAAACCACCCTTTTCAGGTAGTTAAAGGCTGCTATTAAATCCCCTCTCAGTCTTCTGTTCTCTAAACTAAAAAAGCCCAGCTCCCTCAGCCTCTCTCCATAAATCATGTGCCCTGCTCTCCATTGAACTCTCCCCAATTTGTCCAGATCCTTTCTGTAGTGGAGGTCCCAAAACTCCAGATGTGGCCTCACCAGTACCAAATAGAGGAGAATAATCACTTCCCTCGATCTGCTGGCAACACTCCTGCCAATGCAGCCCAGTATGCTGTTAGCCTTCTTGGCAACAAGGGCACAGTGTTGGCTCATATTCAGCTTATTGTCCACTATAACCCCCGGGTCCTTTTCTGCAAAAGCTGCTGCCCAGCCAGTCAGACCCCAGCCTGTCCTGGTGCATGGAACTACTCCATCCTAAATACGGGACTCTGCACTTGTCCTTATTGAACCTCATGAGATTTCTTTTGGTCCAATTTGTCAAGGTCTCTCTGAACTCTAGCCCTACCCCCAAGCATATTTACTACTCCCAATAGCTCGCTGTCATCTGCAAACTTGCTGAGGGTGCACTCTATGCCATCTTCCAGGCCATTGATACAGAGATTAAACAAATCCAGCCGCAGGACCAACCTCTGGGGCACTCTACTTGATACCAGCTGCCAACTAGACATTGAGCCATTGACTACTACCCTGATGATGATCCATGATGATCCAGCCAGTTTTCTATCCACTTTACAGTCTATTCATCCAGTCCATACTTCCTTAGCTTGCCTGTGAGAATGCTAAGGGAGACCATATCAAAAGCTTTGTTAAAATCAATCCATGTTTCAGGGATGTAGGTTGTAGTTGTATTGGTCTAAGGGCATAGGCAGACAAAGTTCTTTGGGTAAATCTGATTATCTTTCATTGACCCAACTCAAATAGCTGGAAAAATTCTTCTTAGCAAGCTTTCAGGCACAAACACCCTCATCTGCTGAGGAAGCATCTGAAGAATTGAGTTTGTGCTTGAAAGCTTTCCAAGAAGAATTTTTCCAATTATTAGAGTTGGTCTAATGAAAGATATCAGATTTACCCAAAGAACCTCATCTTGCTAAAAATCAAGATATACCATGTCCTCTGGCCTCTCCACATCCAAAGAGCCAGTCATCTTATCATAGGAGGTGATCAGGTTGGTCAGGCATGATTTGCCCTTGGTGAATCCAAGATAACTGTTCCTAATCATCTTCTCCTCCAAGTACCGATGTCTGTAGTGATACTAGTAAGAAAATGTGATATTTTGCCAAGGCTGTTTTAAGCCATTCCGTCAGCACAAAAAAGCCATGAATGAAGCAAGAGTCACTGAGTTTTCCTAAAAACTGGAGTTGTTTTACATCAGCCCACCAGCCTCCTTTATAGAATGTGTGCACATGCGCGTGTGCGCGCACATGTGCGTGCACGCACATGAGAGTCTTTGGTGATGAAAAACTTGGATTTTAGGTATGTTTCTGAAGACTGTATTTTTAAATTTGGAAATGACTCTCAGTGCTGAAGACCAGTCTTCTCATTTCTTTGCATTTCAAAGCATGGAAAGAAAGGTTCAGTTACCTCAAAGATAGAAGAGGTCCAAAGACTGTTTAGCCTCCTGGCTTAAGTGATCTTAGGAGTTGGAGGTAGAGACTTTAGGAGTCAAAACTAGCCAATTCAGACCTTATGGAATTCCAGCAATGAAACTCAGACTTTTGCTGTACTAGATTCAGTACTAAGACAGCCTGAAAGCTTGCCTGACAGTCTTTATGCATAACTTAACTGTGAAAGTTCAACATACCTCATACCCAGCCAGAGCACAGGGTTCCACAAAGCAAAACAAACAAACGTTGCGTCAGAGGAAAAACCGGACCTCTTTAACCAATTCTTCACCTCCGTTTTCTTGTGCAGGGACTGGGACTTCCCTGCTGTGATTGAAGCCGGACTCGAGGGGATCGCCTTCAGACCTCAGGTTGGGGAGGACCGGGTTAGAGAGCTTCTGAAGGGTCTGGACGCGTTCAAGTCAGCGGGTCCGGATGATCTCCACCCCAGGGTGTTGAGGGAGCTAGCTGGGGTTATTGCAGGGCCCCTGGCAAGGCTCTATGAGCAATCGTGGTGCTTGGGCCAGGTGCCAGATGATTGGAAGGTAGCAAATGTGGTCCCCATCTTCAAGAAGGGGAAGAGGGAGGACCCGGGTAACTATAGGCCCGTCAGTCTTACCTCAATCCTGGGGAAACTCTTTGAGAAGATCATCAAGGAGCACATTTGTGA